GCCTGTTCTGTACAACTATGACCTTCGTAGCCACAGCTCTGTGAAGAGGAAAATCCATAAACTCAAGGTGCTGTGTGTGCAATTATTACGTGTCAAGTTAAAGGAAAAGCATTTTACTTATTTATTCAGTTACTTTGCCAGAGGTTGTGTGCACTTGCAGAGAGAGAGAGAGGGAGGGAGGGAAGGATGGAAGGGGCAGAGAGAGACAGAGAGAGAGAGACAAAGTGGGAGATGATCATGCCGTAATTCCTTCTTGTCCATTTCTCTCTTTTTGGGATTTTGGGCATGCATGCACATGTGCCTGTCATGTTTTAAAGCCTCTGGGTCTAGGACTTAAACTGTGTACTTGGCCATGTGGGGTCCATCTGCCTTAACCACCATGCCACTGGCTGGCCCATCATTAATTTTTTAACCTGTGCGCATGCACGAGAGAGAAAGCACCCTCGACGGGATCCTGTGATGCCATGACCCCGTTTTTCCAGCCCTCCAACTCCTCAGGACCCTGGACAACCCACATATGGGCCTGGTTTTCAGACCATTCCAGGGATCTGAACTCATGGTCAGTCACATGGCCAGCCTTGCAGGGCACTTGTGTTACTGTTGTGCCATAGTGACTAAGATGTCTCCCGTGACAGAGGGAGAGTCCCAGGCAGAGTGAGCGATAGGAGCTCGCACTGCCCTGCAGTATAAGCATGGCCAGGGGGGAAGGGTGCAGGGACGGGTGGGCAGGGTGTGCATCTAAATATCCAGGATCCAGGTGGTTAAGGGCCTTATAGTTTGGAGCAACAGGGTTTTGGCCAGTGGATGAGTTCCCTGTGCCAAGCCACAAACCAGGTGGCTTAAAACAGGAGGCATTTATTCTTTTACAGCTCTGGAGGCCAGAAGGCTGAAATTGAGGGGTCGGGGCCACACACGCTCCCCGAAGCTTGCAGAGTGAACCAGCTGGGGCTGTGTGCACACCTGTAGGCAGACCCACAAGGTCCTTGTGAGTCTGTGTGCAAGGGTGCGCACGTATGTACACATCAACACGCCTGGGCTCTCAGTGTGCATAAATGGTGAGCACAAATCGCTCCTGGTAGTGTGCTAGTGCGGAGCCGGGGCCTGTTCTGTACAACTATGACCTTCGTAGCCACAGCTCTGTGAAGAGGAAAATCCATAAACTCAAGGTGCTGTGTGTGCAATTATTACGTGTCAAGTTAAAGGAAAAGCATTTTACTTATTTATTCAGTTACTTTGCCAGAGGTTGTGTGCACTTGCAGAGAGAGAGAGAGGGAGGGAGGGAAGGATGGAAGGGGCAGAGAGAGACAGAGAGAGAGAGACAAAGTGGGAGATGATCATGCCGTAATTCCTTCTTGTCCATTTCTCTCTTTTTGGGATTTTGGGCATGCATGCACATGTGCCTGTCATGTTTTAAAGCCTCTGGGTCTAGGACTTAAACTGTGTACTTGGCCATGTGGGGTCCATCTGCCTTAACCACCATGCCACTGGCTGGCCCATCATTAATTTTTTAACCTGTGCGCATGCACGAGAGAGAAAGCACCCTCGACGGGATCCTGTGATGCCATGACCCCGTTTTTCCAGCCCTCCAACTCCTCAGGACCCTGGACAACCCACATATGGGCCTGGTTTTCAGACCATTCCAGGGATCTGAACTCATGGTCAGTCACATGGCCAGCCTTGCAGGGCACTTGTGTTACTGTTGTGCCATAGTGACTAAGCTAGAAAAATAAAAAGCATTAACATAAAAAAAGAATTATTTATTTATTTTTATTTATAATCATCATTATTATTATTTAAAAATTTTCTACAGGGTACTCACACTCACCAGAGAGAGAGAGGGGAAGTGAGAAAACAAGCTGCCAGGTCCAGGACTTGAACCCTGGTCAGCCATGTATGAGTCTGGCACCTTAATCACCACCAGCAGTAATTTTGATCATACTGTAAGAAGAATTATCGAGCAGCCTTTAAAGAGCTGTCTTAAATTTGGAGTATGAGAAAATGCCCCGTGTAATGTAGAGGTAGTTGGATTATTCTAAATGTTTTCATGTGTGTGTCGAATACGGTTGCCTCAAAAAGAAGACTAGAAGATGGTATAACAAAAGTTCGGTAGTGAGTAACTCTGAAGCCTTGGAAAATATGTTATTTTCACTTAAAACAAACAAACAGAAAGGTACTGTGTGAGCTTGTGGCTACATGGGGACACGTGAGACACCAGACAAGGCCTGGAAAGGTGACAGCACCGTGACAAAGGGAAACCAGAGGGAAATGAAAAGGAATTCCATTTCTGCGTCCAGAGACTGGCAGAACAAAGGAGGAGCTTCTGGGAACACTCGGGGCTTTGCATTTCCCCTGAGAAGTACCATGGATTCAGATGTGACTTTGACCTCAACAGCAGGTAGAAGGACGATCAGATCGATCAGATCGGGGCAGGAAGTGCCATAGGGCAGGTGTTCAGTACAGGCCAGTGGAGGTGAGCCTTCTTGGTCCAGAGGGCCAAGGCTCAGTGCAAGCTTCTGATTGAAGGAGTCCAAACTAGTGAGTCAGCTGTCACCAGGCAGGCCTCGTGCATAGCACAGGCTCTGATTGGAGGAGCCAGAATTAGTGAGTCAGCTGTCACTGGGCAGGACTAGGAGTCAGCTGTCACCAGGCAGGGCCTCTTGCACAGGCCTCTGATTGAAGGGAGCTGAACTAATGAGTCAGCTGTCACCAGGCAGGGCCAGTCTGCCCAGGAGCGAAGGCCAGAGAGAAAACAAACTTCATTCATTAACATCAGGAGGCAGAAGTCAGGGCTTTAGGCATTCTTATCTGGGATGATTACAGATCAGTGTAGAACTTTTTGAGATGGAGATTCATTTTGTCATGTTGCACTAATTTTTTAAATTTTAGTTTTATATTTATTTATTTATTTATTTGGAGAGGTTTTTGCTATAGGGCACATGCGCTTGCCGGAAAGACAGAGAGAGACAGAGAGAGAGAAAGCAAGAAATCACGCCCGGGGGGATGGCCATGCTGCAATCCTTTCTCCATTCTCCTCTTGGGATCTTGGGCACGCACGCACATGTGCCCGGGGTGAGTTTAAGCCACCGGGTCCGGAACTTGAACTGTGGTCAACTACATGGTAGTCCAGTGACATAGCCATTACGCAACTGCTGGTCCCAAAATTTTAGTTTTATTTTATGGCAGTATTTAAAATAACAGTTGAGGGGCTGGCAGGTGGTATGGTGGTTAAGGCGCTGGACTCCCATGTGGTCAACTGAAGTTTGAGTCCTGGATCTGGTGGCTTGTTTTCTCCTTCTTCTTCTTTCTCTCTCTGGTCAAATTAAAAATAAATAAATAAATAAAATTAAACAAGCAATTTTTTTTTTTTAAAGACATTTGGCTATTAAAAACCAGGGACACCAACTCTTACCGGCAGTGTTAACCCTGTGGCCATTACCTGAGGAGATGCTGTAAACCATGCATGAGGCACCCCGCCACTGGCCGGCGGCCTGTAGCCTGCACTCCTGGACCACAGTATCCTAAGCACCCCTGCCTATCTGCTGAGAAGGCAAACTCCAGTTTAGGGGTCAGCAGACTTGTTCTGCAAAGGGCCAGACAGTAAACATGCTAGGACTTGGGGGCCATTTGGTTCCGGTCTCACCGTCTCAGCTCTCCCTGTAGCCCGATGGCAGCCACAGACTACAGGGAAGGGAGCGAGCAAGGCCGTGTTCCAATGACACCATCTGGCGCAGTGAGCTCAACGCGCACGTCATTCCACGTCTCACACGTTAGTCTTCCTTTGACTCCCCTACTACGAAAAACGTTCTTAGCTGATGGACCCTGCAGAAACAGGAGGGGAGCCGGAGGACCCCGGCCCATCCTTAGTCTCAGATGATGAACTTCATGGGGGTCCACGAAAAGGTGAACCTCTCCGTTTAACAGGCAAGTCTGGATCCTCCATGGAAGGTCTTTCTTACTCTTTTTCTCCCTCTCCCTCTTCCCTCTTCCCTTTCTCCTTAATACGTCAAATGCATGCTCACTGCTCCCGGAGCTTTCTCCTGGTCTGCCTCACAGGCGTTCAGTCGGAAGGAATTCCACAAGACTCTGGCCTGGCTAAGGACGGGTTCGCCTTTCTCATTTTACACAGCGGTCTGCTACACATCTCTGTCACCCTGTCCCTTTGTCATTTCCTTGTTCTGTTTGCTGTTGGCGAAGTCAGGGCTCATTGCAGAGTTCTGTTTGAAAAGGTCCCATTTCATTAATGGCATCGGCCCATGGTGTGTCCTTCTGGGTTTGGAAGATTAAGTTGGGGGACTCGATGAGGCAGAGGCAAGGGAATAACGATACCAGGCATCGGGGCGAACAGAGGATCTCACACGGCCTTCTGGGTTTCTCCAAACAGGTCGCATCATAGACCACTGTGGGATGGTTCAGCCCCGAGTGGCCAGACAGCCCAGAACACAGGAACAGAGGAACAATCCAGAACTTTATCAAGCTTCCTTCCTAATAACTTCGTCCCCCCCCGCCCCCCGGTGAGCCCTGGTTCAGCACTTATTTTATTTCGTTATTATTATATTTTTAGGTTTTTACTGTAGGGTGCATGTGCTAGCCAGAGAGAGACAGAAGGAAAGTGAGAAATCATCCCTTAGGGAAGACAGTCATGCTGTAACCTGTTCTCCTCCATTCTCCCCTTGGGATTTTGGGTGCACATGCACACGTGCCCGGCATGAGTTTCAAGCTACAGGGTCCGGGATGCAAACCGTAGTTGGTCATGTGGGAGTTGAGCACCTTAATCACCACACCACCTGCTGGTGCCCAAACCTTTATTTATTTTATTTACTTGTTTGTAGCTTGCTATATGATATGTGCGCTTGCTGGAGAGAGAAACAGGGAGCGAGGGAAAGTGAGAAAGTGCTTCCTGGGGGTGGGGAGGTGTTCGCGCTGTAATCTCCATTCTCCTCTGGGGATTTTGGGCGCACGCACACGTATCCGGAGTGACTTTCAAGTTGCTGGGTCCAGGGCTCGAACAGCTCAGTTGACCATGTGGGATCCAGGCCTTCTGCGGGCCCCGACAACGGACATTTATTTCTCACAGTTCTGGAGCCCGGGAGGTCTGAGATCACGGTGCTGGCAGCTGGGTGTCTGGTGAGGGCCTGTCCCTGGCTGGTAGATGGTGCCGGGAGCTCCGTCTGGGAACGTGTGACGTCCAGAGGAAAGCATCCAGCCAGGGTCAGGCCGGGTGGGGCAGCCAGAGGCCTTAAAGGGACCGTGGACTCACCGCCTTAGTCACAGGAAAGGAACTCAGATTCGACCGAGCATAAGACGTGAGTTTCCTCATGCCCGATTTGGGGTTATTCTCAGAAAGCGACACGTGTTAACTTATACGAACGAATATTCTATCTGCTGCCGAAAGGTGAGCCTTAATTTCTGGAAGGGAAAAGAGCTCTCTCCTACCCACCCGCCAGCCTCTAGGCCTCAGGGCAGAGGTGGCAAGGGGTGGAGTGGGTCACTCCACCAGTTTCTCCTCCCAGAGGGGTTTGTGCCTCTGGCTTTGAAGAGGAATGACCCCTCCCATTAGATACGGAACAAACAAGCCAAGGGTCGGCCCGCCTGTGCCAGAGAAATTACGTCCATTGAGAAATGTCGCTGTTTCTTGCCAGGAAAACCCCATCCAGAGCTGCGGTGGAGCCCTGCCGTGACTGCACTGAGACTCAGGTGTGTGGGGTTATCACTGCAGAGGCAGCTGGCAGCCCCGGACAGCCCAGGCTGCGTCCACACGGCAAAGAGCCCTTTGAATGATGCCTGCTGCACGTCTCCACGTCCCCAGGTCCTCCAGAACCACCGAGTATGGGCCAGGGCCACTGTCTGAGGATGGGGACTTGCCTCCCTGCTCCCGCCAAACCGGGGTCTCCACTGTCAAGTTAGAGTAAACACAGGTGATTAGGGCTAGCACTCGGTGGGCCCGGAGCTCAGCAGTAAGGGTGCCAGTCCCACATGGCTGAAGGAGGCTGGAATCCTGTCCCCCAACCCCTGGTGACTTGAAAAACTAGCATGTGTGTGCACATGTGTGTGTAAATGTGTGCTCCAAATCCCAATGGGATGGAGAAACGGAGGAATTACACCCCCTGGGGGCTTCATGCTCTCTCTTGAAGATACCCTCTGGCAAAAAAGGGAGAAGGCGCAGCTGGGTCTCCACGCCCCGGGAGGGACCCGGAGCCGCCTGAGGACTTCGGGTGGAGATGCGAAGTGCTCGCCA